TGAGGTACTTTGAATGTGAGATCCTCTACTGATAGTATGCAGCAGCTTGGTGTTAGAGGTGACAGCAGAGCAGTAGTGAGTAGATGAGAAACTGGAGAAGGGAAACATGCTGACCTCCAAACAAACACAAAGCCATTCTCTGCAACCAGACATGTGAAACCAGGCATCAACTTCAATTAAACTCTCAGCCCAGTTATTATGCTCTTAGATTGCTTCTTCCCTGCTCAAACTATTCATGCATTCTTGCTAGGGACACGACACACACTGCAGCGCTGCCATTTCTTAACACAGTTCAGAGGTCAAGGCTGCCTACAGAGCTGCGTCCATTGAGTAATTCAGCAACATGCCAGACAGCACCTGGCTCCGTAGGAACTCTCAACTCTCAAGCTTACAGATGGAATACATCATTAAATTGCTGCTGCAGGGATAAAACCAGCAGCCTTTCATTTATTAGTCAGCCTCCTCCAGGCTAACCTTCCACCACAAACGGCTGACACTGTCCACCAAATAAATAAAAAAATTGAAAAATAAAAAGACCAAGAGTGGCCTAAGAGTGGATACCATTTCAAATCTGTTGTAAATCATGCGGTTTTAAGAGGAAGACTTAATAAATTGCGGGGTGACTTGTGGTTGTGTGTACTTGAGATGCACATTGCCAACCACTGGTAATCACAGGGGGCACGTGGGGGAATTTGGGAACTAGTATTGCAGATTCAGCCATTCCTGTCAGTATTCACTGGATTAGGGTTGGATGTTTGGAGTTACATTATAGCCACTAAAATAAAACGCTCTGTATTTCACTAAAAACATAATGCAATGCGGGTGTTTAAGCTGCTGTGAATGATTCATGAATAACCCATCCATCCACTCATTTTCTTAACTGCTTATCCAATTCAGGGTTGCAGAGGGACTGGAGGACACAGACAGATATACCACAGGCTCTTTTTCAAACTAGTGCAATGTGAGTTAAAAGATTTCTTATTTGGTCTCATTTCTTTTCTACATTTCAAAGAGTTTACTGACTTTGGCTCATTGAGATTACCTATTTAAATCCTGGAGAAAGGGTTTTGCGAGTTACCCCTTGCTGCAAGTCTTTCTCGAGGATTGCAAAGATGATCTAACCATTGCCACTGGCTAATGTTATACTTATGCTCTGCAACTTTTTTTTTCTGTTTACTGCACTTGTAACTTTAGCAGCTGATTAAAGAGTAGACTGAGAGCTTTTTTATTTCCTCGACTGACCGCTCCTCATTTTTAGCAAAAATTCCACTGCAAAGAAATGAAAATGTGGTTTGTCAGTCCTCCATCTCGGACACTGAAACCTCAGCTTTTCTTCCTCTTGTGCCTCGGTGTCTTCTATTTCTTTTTTACATAGTCTTAGATACCCTGAGGGAAAACACATTAGCTGCCTTAGTGTGATGTGTACGTATTTTCCTGCAATGAAGACACTCAGCTTTTTAATTAAAATCCATAAAATTCAATCCAACTGTTAACTCACAACTTGATCTGCATATCACTATTAATAACTGACAGCTAAAGGCCACAAGGGAAACACTCAAAAGGGTTTAAAGTAGCCATGAATCACTTGTGGTAGACTCCTTTGGTCTTTGTACAGTAAGTAATGTCTTTGAGAGAACACTCATGGCAAAGACACATTTCCATATAGAAAAGATGATCAGGGAGGACGAAGCCAGGCACGTAAGTACAAAGGGAAAAGCAGCCTTTGTATTTCCCTCAGAGGAGCCTCCCCCTTGGCTCTGATCCTTTCCTCTTCTTAAATCAGAGATAGCTGCTCTGTCCATCACAGTTCCCCAGAGATGCTCTACCTGTCACTCCACACTAACATGAGCTTTGAATTTCCTGCGTGTTCCTGGGAGCATGGAAGAGAAGACTCAAATAAACAAATCAGCTCTCTCACACAGACACACACACATGCACGCACACAGCTATCTGAGTTGTTGAAACCAGATTCTGTTCCAAAGTTAAAGGAGCAGGAAGCCATTAAATGCAAAATAAATTCAGTGTATACAAAAGCATGAAAAGGAAAATCACTGCTGTCTGCCGCGTGCCACATGACCTAATACATTAGACTAAGACCATACATCAATACAGTAGCTAACATTAGCACACAATGCTGTTCCTTCCTGTACAGTATAATGTACACTTTTGGGGGTTTTTTTTCTGATGTGCTGCTCTGTAGTTAAGGTTTTGTATAAGCCAAATAAATCATCTCTCCAAAATCCCTACTAGCATTTTGGTAATGAGAACCAGAAAAGGTTTCAGTGACCACAAGAAAATTATCTTGCGACTTCACAGGGTTGCTTTTCCAAATTCCTGCAGAGCTTTAATTTGTATGTTAACGTTACAGAAAAGGCAACTAAGCATCAGAATTTCACACTGAAAGGCTTTTTGAACCCCACCAATTTTCATGTCAAAGTTTGTTCTTCACATAACTTCAACATTCTAGCATCTCCAATGTAATGACTTGTACTTTCACATGAATATAATAATATAACAACAACAGTATAAATTATCATTAGTTGAAATGTGTGAAATCAAAATAGCTGCTTTTACTGTTATGCGTTCATCTCTGTCATCTAAGTTGGAGCCATCTTTCCTCCAGGAGATTGTGGGCTCGGGGTGTCCACGGGGTGGCTGGCACTCCAGGACCGCGGGCTCACCCACTGCGACCATAACGTCAACAGGATTCTGCCTAAATTCGTCACGTAAGACTGGAAAAAAAACAGACAAGCAGAACAGAAAACAGAGAGGATTTTAATGATGTTAAGAAGGTGAATACTTCCTCGTATCATTGGTGTCTTCAAGTGGGGCTGTGTTTAGTGTGTCAAAAAGTCTATTTCAATGACTTTTGTGATGTGGCATTAGCAGCTAATATTTTTAAGGTGCAAATTTTATAGTTTGGACTTTAGCTGCTTTTTTGCTCTTGGTAACAATATTAACGCCTTTTCTTGTTGGCAGAACTGGGCTGCGATACCAAGTCTTTAACAGCTTGACCAGCAGGATATTTTGTACTTGACTTCCCATGTCAAAAACACAGCCGTACAAGTTTCAGTTGATTGTTTACTAGCTCTGTCAATCCCACTTTTTGACAGTGACACACAAACACCTACACAAAATAAATTTACAGAGCTACACTGTTAGTAATCTGATAATATTAGTACAGTATTATCCACTCATCTAAATTGTATTCATTTATCAGCCTGTCAGGATCCCTCGTGGGACTACTCCTTCGCTCATGCAGGGTCTGTTGAGACTAGCTGCTGAGAAAGTTTGTTCTTAATGGCTGACAGTAAGATGAGAAGATATAAAGCTCTGCAGTAAAGGTGGGATCCAGCAGCCTACACTAGCAGGAGGCGGAAAGCTACCACGGCAATTTATCATCTTTCCACAACGACTAGGTTGTGTGCAGAAAAAGATCTTCCAGCCACCAGCTGTATCAGAGACAAAGCAAACTCGCATCTACTCCAGCGTGAACTCTGGTGGTCAGAGAGAGCTTTTTCCTGTCTCCACCATAGACATTATGTTGTGGTGTCTGCAGCAGTTTTTTTTTTTATTAGATTCTTGCATCATATTGAATGGGCTATCATTTGCAAAATTACAGCAAGAATAAAAGTGAAATTAGGATATGTAGAAGAGAAACGAAAAAGAAAGTTCTTTTGATGAAAAACAACTTTAATTCCATATCGGTGAGCAGTTTTGCCACTGATGAGGTGAACAACATGTGCTAATGTAGACGCCTGTGCATGAGTGACTGTTGTTAAGCATTCCCGGACTTAAATTACAGGAGGGGCTTAGAACCTGAAACAAGCCGAGGGAGCCGAGCCAACGCAGACCAAGCAGAGCAGCAAGACTCAGTAGAGCTGGGGTGAAAAGACAGGAAACAATGAGGAAAACGCATAATCACTCCCATATGGCAGCAACAACCCATTCACCTCTGGTTTCGTATTTTTGTGCATAACACCGAGTGGGCCCGAGACGCCTGATAAGCACCGTGGATATGAGAGAACAAATTGGGATGACCTTCTAATTGGAAGTATTTTGGCCCACGCATATCTCTGAGACTCACTTCACTGCGTTGCCCCCTCTGATCCTCTGAGGAGGGTTGCGACCGCCTGACTGAGTGCTGATGGGAAACAGCTGTCTGACAACCCCACCCCACCTCAACCCCGCTCCCCGACTCCCCCCAATACTGCCGACACCACCATGTCGCATGATAAAAGGCACTCCCCGTGGGACGCGAAAAACATGGTTGGGGTTACCTCAGACAGGAAGAAAGGGAGACCGTCATAATTCTGTGCACACTGTGTGCGTGCATGTTGACTGATTGACTGATATTATCGCTTAATTCCAATGGTGGGTTGCACATCTGCTTTTACTATTGTGTAAGGGCCAAATGTTTTCACAGAAATCGAAAGCCTGGGCTGCATCCATAAACCCCTTTGTTAAAGATTCAGTTTCAGTGATAGCATTGCAGTTAGCATAAGAAATAAGACTAGAAGAGATAAGGATTAAAATCAGAGGGAGCATATGAAGGTTAGGAAGGAATGTCTTTGTAAGTGTGCACCCATTTGTATGTGTGTGTGTGTGTGTGAACAAGGAGAAACTGGTTAGTTTTTCCATGTTATGCTATAGTGCTGGGTAAGTACACAGATAATCTAAAAGCTGTGATTGAAAAACTGACTGTTTATGTTGAGTTTGGAAAAAGTATCTGCCTGTTACATTATAATAGGAAATTATGCATGCCCAAGTAAAAACCATGAAAGCACACACCAGTGCATGTACTGTGATCTCCAAACCTAAACTATGCATACTAAGACTGTTTTCTTCTCTCCAGTTTCTCGACAGTCGTCAAATCCTCCTGTTTTCTTACATTACTGTCTTCTCTCGTCATCTACTGGCTCCACACAATTAATATAATTTTGGCTTATCTAGAAGCATATCCTGACAACCTACTTTTTGGGAGTGATGTTGCTCAGAGATTTAAAGATTTAAGGCTAGACAACACTGTCTAGCCTTACATCTTCCCACGTCAGCAGCATTTGCATGACCAAGCTACATGGAGAATAATAATAATAATAATAAAAGAAAATCATACTGATTTTAAGAGGATTTGAAGAATTATGCAAGGAACAATCAGCACAAATTAAACCTTCTTTCTTACCATATATTTTTCTCAGCATGCTTTGATTGCAGAACCAGAACTATTATGATTTCTTTTGTGTCCTCCCGCCAACTTTAAAAACTTTTAGTGTAATCTGATTTTCCATTCTCTGTGTACATGCCTTGCATATTTTAGGGCTCTGCACTCTGTTTTAGAAACAAATCATACTTGTGTATTCCACAAGCTGCATAATGAACAGGAATTTCGTATGTTTTTGATGGTATGTAGCATCCACGTAGGTCTGATTCAGTGAAAACCACCTCACCAGCTTCTGAGGCCTACCCAACTTGCCTGTTTAGCTCAAGCTTTGCACCTCTCCTCGTCTTTTTTTCTCCCTCAATCTGATCCCTCCAGATGAGAATCGCATAGCCCACTTCAAAGCATCAGCCCTTGGCCTCACTAGTTGGGATCTGACAGCGTCTGACTTGTTGTTAGTCCTCTGGAGCCTGAACCACAGCTTGAAAGGCCTACTGTAGCAGGGCTCCAATAATCCTCTCTATAGAGTCCAACTAGACCAAAGAAATACGATCAAATCAGGACAGGCCTGAGATATGCCACAGACAGTAACCTTATCACACTATCATTGTATACGACAGCCATATACACCTTTTGTGGTGATGGTCTCAATTTACTCCTCAATTTACTATTTGCTATCCTGTAGCAGTAACAGTTATTGCATACTGCAATAATAAAACATAACTTTTATGTCCCAAAGTCAATAGTGATATTACCTTAAGACACTGATGGTTAAAAATGGTTAAAATCAGATTTCACCTTGTGTTATATTGGAGAAAAATGTCCTTTTTAGTATTTTAAAGAAAGCAAAGCAGAGCACTTTGGCATTTTTATCACCTGGTTGATGTGTATTTTCATAAATCTTATATCTTGTTATAGCACTTTACCCTCATAGTCTATTGCAATAACCTACTACTAGAAAGATATTTAGTTATATTCTTTACTCGTCAGAGGAGTTGACCTAATATCTAATTTTTTTTTTTATATTAAGTTAACATTATAATGCTTAATTGCTGTTTTGGTTAAGACTTAAATGGAGAAAAAAAATCATTGTATATCCTACAAAGCTATCTAGTAGCCATTTAGCTTAACATCTAGTTTATCAGTACAAAAACTGAAACGGGAAAAAAAAAGGAAGGAGTATGGTGGCCCTGAGAGGCCAAACGTACTGCAACTTAAGAAAACACCAGCAGTAAGAAAAACGCAGCAAAAGCACACAAAACACAACAGAAATATGAAAAAATGACAACGGAAATAGGAAAAAATAAAAGAGAAATAGAAAAATACAGATTTCCAAAATAACAAGGGAAGTGTTTCTGGGGAGACAATAACTCGACAGACCATTTGCAGGAACCAAAATATGCTAAGAATTGCGCTGGGAGACACTTAAAAGAAGTGGAGGATCTATCGGTTTTGTGAGGAAAGAAAAGATGAGAGGTAAGTGTGTTAGCCTAACTATTAGCCTAAAAATCCGTCATCAGTATTATATGAATGATGATAAAACACACCTACCATGTTTTGTTTTCCTGCAACTGGTCTGTCGGGTTATTGTCTCCCTAGAAACACTTCGCTTGTGCTTTTGGAAATCTGTTTTTTTCCAATAGACCCTGTGCACAAGAAAATGCTAACTTCCTGTTTTAAGACCGGGTGTAGGGTTGTACATTTCCGGTAGCCTTATTTTGCGGTCAGTCGCTACTGTGAAGGACTCCAAAATCATGTCCAAAACACGAAAACGGTAAGATCGTGTTAAGTTACAAAGAGCGGAGTGTGCGAACACTCACCATTGCTGTGTCATAAAAAAATTAAATGATCAATTTTGCAGTGTGACTCTGAAGAAGATAACCAAGATACTACTTTGCGGATTTCACCTATCGCTGGTTATTTTTAGAACATAACACCCGCGATAAACGAGGGACCACTGTATACAAATGCTGAGAAATATAGAATTTGAATTATTTCTCTCTTTTGCTCTGAGGCGCGGGGAAAAAAATATTGACAAGTCAATGAACATCATCTACAGATATATTCGGTAAATGCCCAAGACATCTTTAGAAATGTAAATCACTGCTTGATTCATCTATTCGGTTGACTTGTTTTGGAAAACCCGACCGTAAACAAGGAGCGAATATCACACCGGAAACGAAGCGCTATACAGGAGTTTCCCCACCGGAAACAGCATATGCTAAGGCGCACAGAGTCTATTTCTGTTTTCGATTTCCCTATTTTTGTTTTCTTTTTTCCTATTTCTGTTGTCGTTTTTCCTATGTCTGTTGTGTTTTGTGTGCTTTTGCAGCGTTTTTCTTATTGCTGGTGTTTTCTTAAGTTGCAGTCCATTTGGCCTCTCAGGGCCACCGTAAAGGAGTCACTTGTAGGACAGTTCCAATAGTAATATAGTAGCGACTGTCTTTTAACCTTCTACTGATTATTGGTTCATTTGTGTTCCCAAAATGCTAAACTGTTACTATAGATCAGCCTCAGCCTGTCTGTGATGTGTACATACTGAAATGAAAAGGGCAAGAGGCAGATGCTTAGCAG